CGTAATGAAAAACAAGATATTAATGAGTAGTTCATGCAAATAAATTTAAAAAGAACTAATGATGCACAATTATGTCATTTTTTGTCTATTTAAAAGTATCAAAGTAAAATGTCAAATTAGTGCTCCTGAACTTTTTTTTTTCCTGAACTGAACTTTTTCTTCCTTCAAAATTATATTTACTTTCTTTTTTTTTTCTGGATCTAAAAGAATTATCTAAATCATTATAGTTTTGTTCTTTATCCAATACTATATTTTTTGGGTCTATATATTCAATGCTGATGCAACTAGGTTTGTCACACTTGTATGTTTTTAAACTCTTTGATTTCTACATCTTAATTTATTGCATTTACTTACATTTTTGAGTACTTTCAATATATATTTTTGATATTTTCAATATATAAATATTATAATATAAATATTATCATATATATACATCCAATACAATTCTCAAAACTTTAGATATAGATTTTATAACCAACTCTTAATGCAATTGAAGTGTTTTACACTCAAATATTATACTATGAGTAAAGTCTCTTCATCTTTTTTAAACATTCGAAAAAAAACTTGTAGAATATAATTGTAATAATATATTTCTTGCAAAAAGACCGATTGAACAATTCTTATTTGCCTTTAAACACGGCTTGATTTATTATGGAAAATTGAAAAAAAAAGTATAAACAAGTATCTGTTAACATCATTTCAGCTTCAGCAAAAATCATAAAGGACAACAGCAGAAAATTTTCTATAGTAAATCTAGCTAAGCAAAATATTTGCATAGTTCGTTAAGTTTAAAAAAGTAGCACTTGGTCATTACTGACATTTTGTCCTACGTGCAAAAACCTTACTTTAGTATAATATTTGATAAAATATTATACTATAATCTTTTACACTAAAATATTATACTATATTTAATACTATGTGTAAATTATATCACTATAATTATATTTACATGCATAAAATAAATCAAATACATATTCAAAACTAATATAAAATAAATTGAATTAAAACACTGATTATATCATTTAAGAGAAAACTGAGTATTATCATTAAGGGAAAAGTTAAAAATATACACCTAGGTTGTAGTGCTACAATTATGTTATATGATAGAGTATGTCTTTAATTTTTTTTTGGTGGTGTCTATATATAGAACTTCTACAGAAAAAAGTTTTATAGTTTATTTTAACTGGTAACACTTTTTTCTATGGCTGCAAAGTGAATGAAATTTATAATATTTTCCAAAAAAAGTGATATTTTAACAGGCTGATGCAAGTGTTAAACTAACTTTTAATGCATAGTTTTGCTTTTTACAACTGGTGGTTACCCTTAGTAGACAAAAGTAACAAAACATTTACACTGCCTACAACGAACTGTAGCACATTTAAGTTTCCAAAATTTTCTTTTAATATTGCAATTTTTAGCAACTTTGGGATACAATAACTTAAAAACTGTTTGAAATCATTAGAAAACACCTGCAAAAATAGAATATTTGGGTGAAAAACTATTACTGTACAAATTTTCAGGTAATATTTTATTTAAGAAATTATGGTCTGTCAAAAATCAAGAAAATCTACTGTAAGTTCCAGATACTAGAATTTTTCTAATTTTGGTCAATATTGATTCGATCATAACTTATGAACGATTTAGTAAATCAAGCTGAAATTTTCAGGATCGTTTTTTTTTTCATTAAATCTGTGGATGGTCAAAATTTGAGACAAATCTGAGGTGTTACCCTGAGACCATAAGGTGATTTCATATAGAATGACTATATGTCTTACAGTTTTCCAAATACCAATTCCATGGGTTTTTTAATGGTTTTTCCATGGAGTTTTTTTGTAAGGGTAGAATCTGAATTGAATAAATTTACAAAGTTAATCAAAGCTCACAACAAACTGCCACTTAAATTTGTGCATTTTAAAACCTGCAGATTCCAAGTTAAATTTTTTTTTTATTATTTAATTTTTGAAATTTTAAAAAACATTGACATAATTAAAAATATTTTCAAAATTTTTCAAAAATATTATTATAATTTTATTAAATTATACTATTTAAATTATCTACAATTATGTTGATGTTGATTTACAAATATATTTTCTCTAACTGTGTTGTTAACATTTAAAATCTGTTGCTATTTGATGTTGTTTATGCCGATAATACCAATATCTTTGAAAGTAATATTATTTTTTAGCAAAATTTATTTAAAAAATTTTAGTTAAAATGTTTACATTGATTGTTTATTACATTATTGCTTAGTAAATAATTAACTTGTTCATTGTGTTGATAAATCAAATAGCTCTTATAACTTGGTATATAAGTTGTAATCTAAATTTGAAAATGATAATCAAATAAGTCATATAAATGGGGAGGAATGAAATCGTGAATGTATTGAAAAAGTATTTTAAAATTCATAGTCATGATATTAAATATTAGGTAAATTAGACTAAAAGTCTTTTTTTTCATTTTTACCTAATAGGCTACTAATAAGTTTTATATGAAAACATTAAAAACTAAATTTCAGTTTTTATATGTGTATATTTAGTGGTATGTTTGGGCATAAAGGCACTTCATACATCAGACATAAAACCAGACACATCATGTAAGGAGAAGTATTCAATTACAATTTTTTTCTAAGTTCTGGGAAAAAATGTACATGTTAAAAAGTAAATGGAAGGATGAGGGGGCAGGAAAGAGCTAGGGTATTTAAAAACTGAGTTTAATTCAGACTTAATTAAAGACTTATTTCTAGTACTGATTATGAAATACTTTTAAATTCCATACATACTTTATATTACAATATTTAATACAAAACAATTGCTATATTTTTATTGTTTTTAATGCATTTTGGGCAATTTTCATTGTTCTGATTTTGTAACTTCCCTATGATTATCCACTTTTTTTTTCTGAATAAAGTCTATTAAATTAGAAGAAAAAGAAAGTCTTATTAAAATCAGTGTTGATCCTAGGTTACCGATGGTTTGAAGAAGAGGCACAATTTCCTAAGTTTTAGAAGTCTATAATTTTTAGAAGTCTATAATTTTTTAGTAAATTGTATCTTTTCAGTAAACTTCTGAAAATTCAGAAGCCATATATAGAAACTAAAAAAAGTCTTTGCACTTCTTAAAATGCAGGTTTTGTATATTGACTCATCAAAAATCAACTTTTAATATTTGCAAACATTTTTTTAGGTCTTTTAGGTAGCCATTAAAAAAAGTAACACAGAAGATTTCAATGTCAAGTTTTGTTAAAGTAAGTCTAGAATTATATACAATAAAAAAAAAACTAGAAGGTTTTCTGAAATTTTGTTTTTAAAATATAAAACTTTAAAGTATGAACAAAACATGTTTTTGCTACTGAAGTTTTTATTTTTGGAAAAATCAGAAATTTCAAAAGACCATATCTCATGAACCACAAAAGATTTTTTGCTGAAATTTTCAGGAATTGCTTTTTCTCATTAATAATAAGAAACCCACTAAGTATCATTAAAATCTGAGGGGGCCCATGTTGGACCTTTGTCCAGTTGGAATGGAATGACTAATAGGGTAAAACATCCAGTGCTTGCCATGTGCTTAGCCATTGTCACTAAAAAACATGCAGATCAAAAATGCTAGGAAGTTCTGAAATCATGTCTGAAAAAAATTCAGATGATTGCATTATTGGGTGGACATCCAATCATCTCAAATTGAGAACTTTAACAAGAAAAATTTGTATTTAAGTTCCTTGTGTGGCATGCAATTCATAGCTGTGGCATGCAGTTCTTTTGTTTCATCACTAAGAAGACATTGACTGCTGATCTCTACATCAAAGAATGCCTCTCAAAAATACTTTAGCTATTTATGAAAAAACACAAATACCAATGTCTATTTTTGTCAGATCTTGTTGCTTCTTACAATTCTAAAAAAGTTCTACAGTAGCGTTAAAATAACGATGTAAAAATTATTTCTAATGACGCCAATACTCCAAATCATCCTAAAGAGCGTAAAGTTGAAGATTTTTGGGCAATAGTTAAAGGAGTTCTTCAAAAGACAGGTGTAGTAACAAAAAACAAAAAGGACTTAATGCCATCAATAAAGTGAAAAAAAAAATATGCGAAATGATCATCAACCTGCTATAAAAATCAATCTCTTGCTAAACAGCCCATCAAACCCCTTAAAATTAAAAAAACCCTAACTGATGTAAAGATACAAACATCTAAAAAAACTGAAATAAAAAGCATTTATGATTTTAGAGAAATCTCAATTTAAAGTTTACCAAATTTTTTGGTGTAGAACCAATATAACTTACACAAGTTTGACAATCCTAACTTTAGAAATAAGCTTTAAAATATGCTCTAATGTTTATGTATTAACAGGACTGCAAAAAAAAAAAAAAAAGCCTTTTTTTTTTTTAAATATATTTTTAGTGAAAAAAGTACAGAAGTTAACAACTATGATATATTATTTTTTAAAATTATTCATAAAACTAAATTTTCTTTGTGAAAATATTTAAATAGATAACATATAATAATAACAGATAATTTTTTTCCCTGATAAAATACATGTCTTTTTTTTTAAACTTTTAAAAATATTTTTTTAATGCTTTTTATATAGTGATGCTTTTTTAATAGTAAAAACACGCAGTAAACTAAAATTTATTTTTAACAGGTTAACCCCTTTAATTCCTTAGTTTATTTATTTTTTAATCTTTGCTTTAATAACGAAAAATGTACTCTTGTGCACAATAAAGCAAGTTAATTAACTTTAAGATATTTCGACATTAATAACAAACCATTATCATTAATTATAAGGTTTAGTTAGCATGTCAACAGAGCCTGTATGTTAGTAAGCATTCTGATTTTAAACTATTAAATACATGCTGGGATTCAAATTTAGAGAGCTTATAGATTTTAGCACATCTACAAACTATGCATTTAAAAACAAAACATTTTAGAAGACATAATTAGAAGCCATTTCTAAGGTTTGTTATTATTATAATATCAGAAATCATACTATTGTAAAAAAACAAACCTTTTTCCTTCAAACCCTTGTTAAAATTTTTAAAAATAAAATAGGACCAAACAAAGACAAGGATACGAAGAAGCAATCCCAGTACACCTAAAAATTAATTTCAAAAACGTAGTTCATAATCAACATAAACACACACACATACACAAAAAAAAAGTTACCGGCAGCAAATATACAAAACAAAACAACATTTGCATCATAGTCATTTTTTTTCTGATTATTTACTTCATTTTTAGTCTAAAGAAAAAAAATTCATGCCAAATTAAAAAATCATAAAACAAAAAAAACTAAAAAAACTTAAATAACTAAAAAACCTTGACAAACAACCAAATAATATAAGGTGGTTCCAGAAACCCAATGATCCAAAAAATGAAATTAAGTTTAATATTCTCAAAACGTGTCTAAAAATAAAACTGTCTGCTCAGAATATTTAATTTGATTGATAGATTGCCATCCAAAAAACTCAAAAAGTTTTAAATTTATTTCCAATGACAACTTACAGATAAATATTTAAACAACTTAATCAACAAAACATCCAACAACTTAAACAACAAACAGCAAAGCATACAACAACTCTAACAATAAATAACAAAATGTTTAACAACTCAAGCAACAAAACGAACAAAACAACTTATCACTAAAATAACCAACAACTTAAACAACATAAACAATGAAACAACACAAAAATGTAAACAATAAAACTCAAACAACTAAAACAACTCAAACAAGATAAACAACAAAGCAACAAGCAATTCGAACAACAAGCAATAAAACAACTAACTTTTAACTTTGTTAAAAAATTACACTAAAATAAAAGGAGCCGTAATAATATCGTTAAACATAAAATTAGAAACATTAGATACAACTTTTACAATGATCCCAGAGATGGAAATAGTCAAAACATATTTTTTTGAGAATGCCTAGACAGGGTGGCCATTCAAACTTAGAAAACAAAATTCCATAACTTTTCCATGACTCTTCAAAAACTTTATAATAAATGACTTGAGTAAAATATTTAGTACTTGCCTGTACTAAGCATAAATGCTTTAACCAAGTTGCAAATTTGCAACTTAGTCATTATACAGTGGCGGACTAAGACTTATTAGAGCTTGGAGCTATTTTTGTATTTAAAGGCCTTTTTATGAGTCAGAGCTTAAAAATGACTAAAGATAAAAAGAAAAAAAAATGTCCTCTAAAATTTTTGAGGGTCCCTAAATTTGCAAGGCCCGGGGCTATAACCCCCTAGCCACCCCCTTGATCTGACACTGATTATAAAACACGCAAACCAAAAACTAATTGGTAGAAAATTCTGAAACAATGTCTAAAAAATTTTTTTTTACTTCTCTGATAACTTAAACTCTAATAATATCTTTTTCAAAAAGGTCTTTTAATTTTTTTTTTGCATCCTAAAAATATTACAAGTAGAAAAAAATAAAGATCATTTAAAAAGTTCCATGAATTTTCCATGACTTTCAATAAAAATTTAGGAATTCTATGACTTTTTCCATGACCAAATAAAATTCCATGACATTTCCATGATTTCCATGACCAGTGGCCACCCTGCCAAAAGGCCAGATAAATTTGTGGTTAAATTAAAAAAAAAAAAAAAAATCATGTTTCTAGCTAATTTCTAAGTGATGATATTTAGTTTTGAAGTTGATGAATTTCCAAATTTAATATTTATGTGTGTATGTATGTGTGTATGTATGTATTTATGTGTGTATGTATATATAAGTTGATGAATTTCCAAATTTAATATTTATGTGTGTATGTATGTATGTATGTATGTAATTATGTGTGTATGTATATATATATATATATATATATATATATATATATATATATATACATATACATATACATATATATATATATATATATATATATATATATATATATATATATATATATATATATATATATATATATATATATATATATATATATATATATATATATATATATATTATATATATATATATATGTATATATATATGCTGTACAGATATTGTTATAAAGTAATAGAATACTATATAATATTGTATTACTATGTTTAGGAAGGGTACTGCAATTGTCCTGCAGTTATGCAATTTATCAACCCATAACTGCGATAACTACATATTTTTTTAATAAGTTTAATAACTACATATTTTTTTAATAAGTTAACAAGTTGCATTTGTTAGAATTTTTTTTTTTTTTTAACATTATTCACCTTCCCAAGTCCGTGGGGTCATTATAGTCGAGGAGGCTACTTATTTTTTTGTGTTTTTATTTTTTATTTTTTGTTGTTAATTGTGGTACAACCCTCTCTCAACTCTTTAACTCAGAAACACGAACTTAGGCAAGCAAGGCTGCTGCGCGATGTAACTAAGTTTATTTAGCAGAAAGTTTTGTAATAAAAAGCTTTTTAATTAAGTAGCCTTTTCTTTAATATTTTTACAATAAGTAATTAACTTGATATAATATAAAAAAGAAGAGAATGTAAATTAAAATAAAAAGTATTAATAAAGACTCTGATTTCTCTAAGAGAGTTTTACAGACTAACAAGTATATTCTTTGGTTTTCTTTTTAAAAAAAGAATTTTTTGAATTCTTAGTGTTCAAATTAAATAATTGTATTTAATTGTACTGCATTTAACCAAAATAAGCTTTGCGAGATTTTTTGCTTGCAAAAAGTTCGATAACTGCATCAAAGTCTAGTTTCCTTGCAAGTGGCGCCTCAATCGCTAGTCTTCCCAAATTAGAAAGTCGATCTTGACACATCGTAGAACGTAAAAAATTTTTAACTCTTGCAAGGGTGCTGAAAGAGCGTTCTGCTTGTGCAACGGTAACTGGAAGTGTACAAAAAATTCTAAGAGCAACTAAAATGTTTGGGAAAAGAGAATCAAGTTTCAACTCATGGAGTTTGTTTAATAATTGAAACAGCAATAATTGTATTATGCTAAGATTTGATGCGTGAACTGCCTTTAAATGTTATAACTCGTCTATTAAATCGAGAGAAACATCAATGCTCTATTTAACACAAATAGATGAAGCTTTCTCACGCAGCAGATCTTTATCTAATGTCATGTATTTCCATACAACACCAAATATTTCCTCCAGATCTTTGGCTGCCTCAAAACGCCGATTCATATTACCAATGACACAATCTAAAAGAACATAAAAAACATCGCGCTTGAAACAAAATTCTGCACTGGTGTTGCCTAATTTATTATTCTGTTTTTCATCTGAAAATCTAGCTTTTCGGCTGCGTTTTTTCTCCGGAAATATGATTTTTGGAAACCATACCTAGATTTTCGGCAACAAGTTTACATTCATTTAATATTGAATCCCAGTTGTTTCTCAATAATAATAAGGTCATCAATTAAGATTTTTAAATTTAAAACCTCCACATCTAAAAATGCACCTCTGGCTTGCAGAACTGTGTTTCTGTAATTGATGCTTGTTAGAACATTAAACCAAGTGCTTGCGAGTATAATGCACTCAAATGAACCCAAGTATTTCTCAATACGTTTGATATCTGATCGAGTTTAGGCAGTAAGATTTAGCTTCTTTAAGTCTTGGATAGCACTCTTAAAACCAGGAATATGTCCTGAAAAAGGTTTTACACTTTCAATCCTGGCTGACCAACGTGTATCTGACATGCTATGCAAAGAGCATCCAATGTTTTCTTTTAAAATTTGCCATCTTTGCGGGCTAGAGCTGAACAAGTTATAAGTCTTTTGCACAACACCGAAGAAGTTTATAACCTCTGCACGGCACTCTGCGGCATGGACGACACACAGGTTCAAGCTATGACAAGCACATGGAGAATAAATTGCCAATTGGTTCTCTTTAATTATCTTTGCTTGTGCTCCTTTATATTAACCGCTCATGTTGCTACCGTTGTCATAACCTTGACCACGACAGTCTATCATTGGTATATTGTGTTTTTTAATAACACTGCAAATTAATTCAGCAATAGCTTTCCCCCTTTTCTGATTGCAGTCAACAAACTCTAGAAATCGCTCTTGAACTTCGTAGAGACTATTTTCTTCATTTAAATAAACATAACGCAATATATATATATAGTTTGTTCCATATGTGCTGAATCAGGGGTTGCATCAACAAGTTTTGAGTAATATTTTGCTGCTTCTCGTTCACTTAGAATAACGTCTAATACTTTTTTGGCACAACAAATAAACTCATTTTGTATTTCCGGTGAAAGGTAATTTGCTTGTTGTCTTCTCTTCAATTTCTGCGACTTCATCACTTTGTTCAGATGGTCTTTTAAGACAGAATCATAATGGTTCAAGAACTCTAAAATGCCCAAAAAATTGTCATTTGCTGCAACTCCAACTAAATCACTTGTTCCTCTAAATCCCAAACCTCGTTCGGCTAGAAACAATGTGACATCTAAAATTCGGCGAAGAACCTGTTTCCACTTTGATGCTTGATTCTTAATGGTCTGCAGCAGCATAATATCGACAGTGGAATTAGAATCAATACTTTTTTCCAATAGGCGCCATTTAATATAACAATATTTATGGTTGCTGCTATTTTGATGCTCTGGAATTTTGTCATGTAATTTTTTCCATTTTCTTTGAAAACAATACCCAGATATTGTTTTGAAACGTGAGCGACTAGCTGTTGGTAGTTTGCTAAAAAGGCGACAAAGAAAACAAAATATCGATTGTTTAACTTTGCTCCAAACAAGCCAATAACGGGGAACATATTCTCCATTTTTTATACTTGTATGTAGTATACAAACAGGAAATGAATGTCCGTTTACATCTTTTGGAAATTGAGATGGGGTCTTTTCTGGACCCCTACGAACTGCTTCCTCAATTTCAGAAGCATTTGGTCTTTCGTTTTTTAGACTACCAAAATCAAAGTCAAGCAGTTTTGTTGTAGTAACTTTATTATCAGTTATATTTGATTTATAATTCTCAGAGATATTGTTGATAGGAACTAAAAGATTGCCGGGCTCCACGTCATCTTTATTTTCTATGTTATCAGGATCTGGAAAGTCGGCAGTCACATTAATTAAATCTGCAGCTTGTTCAACAACGTTGTCGTTATTGTTAAAATAAGCTTTTACATTATGATATTCATTTTCTAAATCTTCCTCTTTCGAAGACACTGAAAATCCATAACTTTGAAGTTGAAAAAAAACAACTAAACTCAAAGTTTTCAATAAAACATCGTGGTCCCTATTTATTTAACAAAATAATTTCTAGAAACGAATCGCTAATAAATTTAAACAACGAACAGTCCCTAAAAACAAAGTTAAAATCTACAATAATCAAGTTAAACAACTACAAGGAGTTTTTTTAAACTTCAATTTAAAATTTAAAAATTAAAAATAATATAAAACAACCCTAATAAAACAAAAAATGTAACTTTTCAAAGGAATCAATAAA